CTCATCAATTTTTAATCAAAAAGTTCTCTCATCAAAAACTTGTTTCGTCGTCAAACCCTTTTCCTCATAAAAACATTAATCCAAAAAATGTGTTCTTTTATTAAAAACTTTTGTCATCAAAAAAAAATAAATATATATATATTTATATAGATAATAAATCAAATTTTTTTCCCGTATAAAGACTTTCTATATTCAAAATCGTTTATATAATTCCGGTTGTTACATATGACAACAAATGCCATATTAAAGGTGTAATTGATCTAGTCTTGTGATGTGCAAAAGCTTGTAAATGTCTGATTCGTGCTGTAGCGACACCTGGTGGCCGAGGGGCTAATGCATGCTAGCATTTCTCCTGTTGCTTCCTGACAAAAAAAGCTTTGAAGAAAGAAAAAAGCTTTTTGAAGAGAGAAAAAAAAGATCATTTTTAAAGAGAAAAAAAAAGTTTTTGATAAAAAGAAGTATTCACTATTAACCAAACGCTTTCACCTGTCTCAGCATCTCTCACTGTTCACACTCACTCACACTTTTAATCCGTATTAGAGAGCGTGTCACACCTGCCTCAAGACCTTTTACCGTTTGCACTGCACTTGATGCACTTAAACAAACAGACAGTGCAAATCTACACTTATTTTCCACCTTACTTTATATTTTATTCTACAGTTTTAATCCGTTATAGGGTTCGCGTCCCGTACGTGGCACCAAAGCGTTGCGCCTGCCTCAAGATCTCTCGCTATTTACAGCCGCTGGACACCGCGATTGATTCACATGATCTGTGATGTTATCTTGCCTCGGCTGTGGCGTGTTCTGTGACTGCTGAAGTGTCATCTGGGGCAGGCAGAGTAAGAGTAGCAGCGTTTTCTGTTTCGTCACATGCATCTATCGGATCGTAAACAGACTGAGAGATCTTGAGGCAGGTGCACACAGGCTATTAGATAGGAATAAGATATAGGTGGCAAATAAGTGTAGATTTGCACTGTTTGTTTAAGTGTTTGTTTAACGATGATTGGCAGCTCTCCATGTAGACATGGGATATTCAAATGCAAAAGGAATTGCGATTCCATTTAAGTTTTGGCAGGTTACATGAAAAAGCAGATTGGTAATTAATATTGTTATTTAAATATGACAGGCTCATAACTCTAAGACATGGGAAATACAGCTGCAAATGCGTTTTCATTTGAAATTTGGCTGTCACTGTGCGTTCCCGAAAATGAAAATGCAAACGGTAACGCAGGATTTGCAATTGCATTTGAATTATGTTACAATTTATGCGTCCACATATTGAAAACACAATTTGCTGTTCTATTTGAAAATTGTCCGGAATATTGTTCCATAGTATGGAGGACGAAACCTGCAAAAACAATAAATAAATAAATAAATGTGTGTATAAATACACAAATTCTTGTTTAAATACATATAGAAATAAGGAAACGTGATTAAAGTAGGTAAATAAATAAAATAAATTGGTGGACAGATGGAAAATGTTTAAGGAAATGCTGAACTCATTCCTTTGCTCACTCATTCATTTCTGAATGTATTTGTCCTCTGAGCAACGATCACGTTTATGCTCAGTAAACCGTCTTCTAGAACCAAGTCGATCTGAAGCAATCTCTCGCTCTTTACGGCCGGAGAACCAAATGAGTGACATACACAACACAAGGGTACATCTCGGCTGATTCTCGATGTATTATTGTACAAACAGAGGCTCATATACATCCTCGAGAACTGCTGTGAAGTGGTTTCATCGAGGAACAGACCCTTTTCCCCATTAGTTATCAGAACAGAAAATACAGGCGACAAAAGTATGTTTATTAAGCAAATAACGGTTCAGTTCAAATTTCTCTTCTCTTATTTTTTACTTTTTTATTTATTCGTAGGCCGTGTGAGAGAATCAGGAAGAATCTAGGACAACATTTAGTTTTCTGCTTGATTGTTTTGTTGAGTGATCTGCAGTAAGATGTGCTGTTCAGCTTACAGACGTAACCTGGGTCCACATCACGCTCTCACCGCAGACGCTCGGAGACGAATCCAGACGCTCAGAGACAGACTATCTGCTAAAAGTGTGAGAGAGGAGCAGGAGACGAGCGCCTGGAAAGCCCAGAACAACCCTTGAACAGTCCCCTACAGACTCCGAGACGCTGCATATTAAAAACAGAAGTTTACTTCAAGCCAGTGTGTTTAACGAAGCGTTTCCAGACACACAGACATACAGGTACAAGAGATGGAAGCTCCTTTCTGCCACTGAGTGAAAAATATAAAAAGGTAACAGTGACTTTTCCCTCAAAATTCAGGATTTCACATTTCTCAATTTAGATTTTTTTTTCTTAGAGTTCTGAATTCACGTCTCACAATTCTTTTTAGTTTCCACCACAGAAAAAAAAAATGTAATTGCAACTTTCTATCACTCTTTTCACTTTTTTCTCAGAATGGTGAGGTTACATTACGCAATTCTGACTTTTTTCTACAAAATTGTGTTATAAACTCATAATTTATAATAATTATAAACTCAAAGTTTAGATCTCACAATTTTTTACTGTTTTCTCCGTTTATATTTCGCAACTGTTTTATTTTTTGCTTCCAACATGGAATAAAAAAAAAAAGTTTTCATTAAAGTCTGAACTGTGAGAGAAAAAGTTTGAAGTTTATATTTGGCGATTTCAAGTTATAAACTCATAATTGTGAGTTTACGTCGTGCATTAATTTTCGCAATTCAGTTTTTTCTGTTTTCGCGACGGTATAAAAAAAACTCAAATGTAATTGTGACTTTTTAATCGTACAATTCTGATTTAATTTTTTCTAAATTGCGAGTTTTCATCTCACAAATCAAACTTTTTTTCTCCTAATTGTGTTTACGTTATGCAATTCTGACTTTTCCCAACAAAACTGCGCGTTATAAACTTACAAAAGCAAGTTTACGTCTCGCAATTTTTCCCTTTTTCTCCGATTTCTGAGTTTATATTTCGCAATTGCTTTGTTTCCAACATGGAATAAAAAAATTAAAAAACGTAAATCAAAAATCTCAAGATTTCAAGTTAACATCTCACAATTTTGAATGCGTGTTTGTATCTTGCAACTCTGAGGGGAAAATCTGAATTGTGGGACAAAACGTTGCAATTTTTAAATTTTTTATCCCATGGCTTAAAACACGCTTCCATAATAAAGCACTGAGAGCGAAGAACCGTATGTATATAAACACATCGTGCGATAAAACTCAACGGTGGCTGTGACGTTTGCATTTTTAAGCGGTGAAAGCATAAATCATGCAGATGTGATTCAGATGAAATGTTTGGATGGGTTAGCGTGTTGTTTGCGTGACGTGTTAAAGAGCTGTACAACACAGGTTTAAATTCACATTTACATCATCGCTAATCTATAAAATACAAAGGGTTTCTTTCAAAAGGTTTTAAACGTCAGTCTTTTTAAAAGTTCGTATAAAAATGTCCCCAAAATGTACAAAAAGGCGAGTATGGAAAGTGTTGCTCTCCTCCAACGGTCTGAAATAAAGGCCCTGCTGGTGGAGAAGGCATGCTGAACACGAGTCAAAGGCTTGAATCAGGAGTCGGTTCCTTCTCACGTTCCTTCATTTAGCGCTCGTACAGCAGCAGCAGCTCAGCTTCACGGAGGAAATTCCCTGATATTGTTTTACTCGTTTCAAAATGTGGTTTCGATGCGACGAGAGGACGAAAGAAATGTAAAAAAAAGTGCTTCGCTTCAAGTATGTAAACAAAAATGTAAAAAACGACAGATTCTCGTCAGCGTTTGGCACGGCGAATCAGATCAACTGTCGCGTGAGATGTAGGAAAAATCAAACAGAGGGACAGAAACAGGACGATTGTTCTTCGCCTCTTCATGCCCTCGTCACTCATCAGCATCTGCAAAGAAAAACACATCTGTCCATATCTGATTCGTCGACACTTGAAAATTTTCATCGCAAAATGTCATTTTGTACAATTTTGTTATATGTTATATTATGACCCAGCTCTATATATAAAGTTGGATATATGGTATAGATGGAAATATAGCAAAACGTAACTATATTATTGCACAGCACTATATATATAAAGTTGGATGTATAGTATAGTTGGATATATAGCAAAATATAACGATATTATCGCACAGCTCTATATATAAAGTTGTATATATATTTATCTGCATACATACAGTACACTCGTAAAACTATATACTATGTAGCAAATCGCCACTGCTTGAGTTTTATATTTCATCGCAAAATATAACTATATTATCACCCAGCTAACCCTAAAGGAGGTCGCACACCGGACCAGAAGCGTCTAGAACAGCTCGAGGTATCGCACACCGGACGCGCACATTCTATACGCACAAGCTCAATTTCTAATCAAGTTCTGAGCTGCAAGATGGGTGGGTTTTAACTTCATTTATTATTATTTTCAATATATTATTTTAATTGATAATAGCTGAGTTTTGAACGTTAATCAGTGAAAAGAATCTGTGTTATTGTTTTGTTGTATCTGTTGTCTAGGCAACTATGTTACATAGGTCAATACTGTAATATTTTGCGTATGTAAAAATGTCTCAAGAGAAAAATAAAAGATTAAAAGGACTACGTTTATTATACATTTAATTCTATATGTTTACAATTTATTCAAGCTGTAAAACTAATGTATGTAGTATTTTGAAGAAGTGGTACTTTGTTATAATGTATTAACAACGATTTGAGACAAATATGATGTTATTTAATATAAAACTCTTCAGATGGCGCTCTGTGGCGCGGCAGTAATTTGAACAGCGTCCGGAGTCGTAGCTGGGCGCCGCCAGTGTGCGTACTCTCATAGAAAACAATGTGTTCGAATTTTAAAGACGTGGCACGGCGCTTCTCGTCCGGTGTGCGGCCCCCTTAACCCTATAAGGCACACAGATATTATAATATCCTAAAATGAACATTGTGGTTTTCTAATATAAATTTGACAGTAATGTCACTGATGAATCAGTCACAGTAAGAGCACAGATCAGTGGACATCAACCACTCACTCAGATTCAGACGAGTCGTTGTCGAGCATTTTCCTCATTCCGCTCGTGGACGCCCCATTCTGATAATCCTGTCTAGCCCCACCCCCTCGGCCCTCGCTGGAGGAGGGGCCCCGTGAGGAGGCGGAGTCTCCAGACAGCTGGTTGTGTATGTGATTGATGGCGTTCCTCTCGGCGATGGGCGACAGCTGCTTCTTCTTCAGGATTCCTGCGCGGCACGGTCACTCGTTAAAATTGAACACACTTTACACTGGGCAGCAGCACTTACAGCTAGTCATAGTTATAATTATAATTATAGATACAAATAGTTATTATAAGTATTGTTATAATTATCATTATAGTTATTGCCGTTTTAATAATTACATTTACAGTTATCATTGTAGTTGTAGTATAGTTAATAATATAGTTATAATTATTAGATGTCGATATAGTTAGTATCGGTATCACTGAGGCATTAAGTATCGGTATAGTTAAATTTATAGCTATTATAGTTTTAAGTACAGCCTTTGTTACAGTTATCATTGTAGTTATATTTATAATTAGTTATCACTAGTATATTATTGTTTTAGTTGTAATATAGTAATTGTATATTATAATTATAGTTATAATAATATTGATAAAATGATAGTTATGGTAATAGTTATCATTATCATTGTAGCTATAATTTTATGTATCCCCCAATTGTAAGTCGCTTTGGATAAAAGCGTCTGCTAAATGACTAAATGTAAATGTGTAAATGTAGTTATCGCATTTTTATAATTATAGTTATCATAATTACAGTTATTGGTATAGTTATCGTAGTTATTCTTATGTTATCACAATTATAGTTATCAGTATATTTAAAGTTATGTTATAGTTATCATTACAGTTATCGGTGTAGTTATAATTCTAGTTAACTCAAGAATATTTCGTCCGTCCGCTCGTTCAGACCTTTGTGTGGCGGTGCGCTGGTGTTGGGTAAACTGGCCAGCAGCAGCAGCAGGTTTTCCGTCCCATGATCCTCTGCTCTGTCCTCGGGTTTGGACAGCGCCTCCACCTTCAGACGCTCGTCTGCTGCTCCCGTCTCACCCTCCCACACATCTGATGATGATCAGAGAGACGTCAGACACGCTAACAGAAGCGCAGAGTCGCTCGCGTGAACCGCCTGATGTCTTACCGTGAGGTTTGATGGGGCCGCTGGTGGCCAGATTCTCCCAGCATTCCTCCTGCGGGAACTCGCCCTCGTCTTCCTCGCTGTCAGACGAGTGTGTGGACGCATAGGAGCCGCTCTGATCATCCTCCAGCTCCGAGAGATCGCTGTCAGAGTCTGAGTCGTGATCTACACACACACAGAGGTTAAACTCAGCTCGCTGTGAGACATACACACGTGTGTGTTTGTGTGTGTGTTTACCGTCTATCTGCTCTTTGTCTTTGAAGAGTGTGTTGTGTTCACTCAGACTCAGCTGACTGCTGTTCAGATCGTCTCCGCTGAAACAAAACAACACTTCATGAGTGCTTCATTAGTTTATTGTGTCTTATTTAACTGATAAAACTGGTAATCAACTAGTGTTGATTAGTCATCAAATCAAATAGTCTTTTTATTTGACAAATAGTGTGTGTGTACGCGTTTTTGTGACAAATGAGGACATCAATGTGTATAATGACAAAGGTACGACAGGTATTACAAGGAGAAGGTGACTTTTCAGGACATTACCCCATGTCCCCACTTTTCAAAACGCTTATAAATCACACAGAATGGAGTGTATTGAAAATCTGAAATAGCAGAAAGTCTCCTGTGAGGGGTAGGTTTAGGGGTAGGGTTGGTGTAGGGCAATAGAATATACGGTCTGTACAGTATAAAAACCATTACGCCTATGGAGAGTCCCCACTTTTCACAAAAACAAACGTGTGTGTGTGAGTGAGAGTGTGTGTGTGTGTGTGTGTGCGTGAGTGAGTGTGCGTGTGTGCGTGTGTGAGTGAGAGTGTGTGTGAGTGAGAGTGTGTGTGCGTGTGTGAGTGAGAGTGTGTGTGTGTGAGAGAGAGTGTGTGTGTGTGAGAGAGAGTGTGTGTGTGTGAGAGAGAGTGTGTGTGTGTGAGAGAGAGTGTGTGTGTGTGAGAGAGAGTGTGTGTGTGTGAGAGAGAGTGTGTGTGTGTGAGAGAGAGTGTGTGTGTGTGAGAGAGAGTGTGTGTGTGTGAGAGAGAGTGTGTGTGTGTGAGAGAGAGTGTGTGTGTGTGAGAGAGAGTGTGTGTGTGTGAGAGAGAGTGTGTGTGTGTGAGAGAGAGTGTGTGTGTGTGAGAGAGAGTGTGTGTGTGTGAGAGAGAGTGTGTGTGTGTGAGAGAGAGTGTGTGTGTGTGAGAGAGAGTGTGTGTGTGTGAGAGAGAGTGTGTGTGTGTGAGAGAGAGTGTGTGTGTGTGAGAGAGAGTGTGTGTGTGTGAGAGAGAGTGTGTGTGTGTGAGAGAGAGTGTGTGTGTGTGAGAGAGAGTGTGTGTGTGTGAGAGAGAGTGTGTGTGTGTGAGAGAGAGTGTGTGTGTGTGAGAGAGAGTGTGTGTGTGTGAGAGAGAGTGTGTGTGTGTGAGAGAGAGTGTGTGTGTGTGAGAGAGAGTGTGTGTGTGTGAGAGAGAGTGTGTGTGTGTGAGAGAGAGTGTGTGTGTGTGAGAGAGAGTGTGTGTGTGTGAGAGAGAGTGTGTGTGTGTGAGAGAGAGTGTGTGTGTGTGAGAGAGAGTGTGTGTGTGTGAGAGAGAGTGTGTGTGTGTGAGAGAGAGTGTGTGTGTGTGAGAGAGAGTGTGTGTGTGTGAGAGAGAGTGTGTGTGTGTGAGAGAGAGTGTGTGTGTGTGAGAGAGAGTGTGTGTGTGTGAGAGAGAGTGTGTGTGTGTGAGAGAGAGTGTGTGTGTGTGAGAGAGAGTGTGTGTGTGTGAGAGAGAGTGTGTGTGTGTGAGAGAGAGTGTGTGTGTGTGAGAGAGAGTGTGTGTGTGTGAGAGAGAGTGTGTGTGTGTGAGAGAGAGTGTGTGTGTGTGAGAGAGAGTGTGTGTGTGTGAGAGAGAGTGTGTGTGTGTGAGAGAGAGTGTGTGTGTGTGAGAGAGAGTGTGTGTGTGTGAGAGAGAGTGTGTGTGTGTGAGAGAGAGTGTGTGTGTGTGAGAGAGAGTGTGTGTGTGTGAGAGAGAGTGTGTGTGTGTGAGAGAGAGTGTGTGTGTGTGAGAGAGAGTGTGTGTGTGTGAGAGAGAGTGTGTGTGTGTGAGAGAGAGTGTGTGTGTGTGAGAGAGAGTGTGTGTGTGTGAGAGAGAGTGTGTGTGTGTGAGAGAGAGTGTGTGTGTGTGAGAGAGAGTGTGTGTGTGTGAGAGAGAGTGTGTGTGTGTGAGAGAGAGTGTGTGTGTGTGAGAGAGAGTGTGTGTGTGTGAGAGAGAGTGTGTGTGTGTGAGAGAGAGTGTGTGTGTGTGAGAGAGAGTGTGTGTGTGTGAGAGAGAGTGTGTATGTACCGGAGGCTGAAGGGCATGTAGTTCTGATGGGTTTGGCTGCTCTGGGTTCCGTTCAGAGACACACTGGACTCAGCGAACGGCAGATGATACAGACGTCCGTCCACAAAATTACTGTTGCAGATAAACGGCTGACGGACAGATGAAGAGATCGTTACAAGGGAATTGTTGATTCAAATAAAACACTAAATGAAAACAGAAGTTTGCAAAAGAATAAAAACTACAAAAAATAATGTATACATGTATAAATAAAGTAACATATACAGTTTTTCTCAGTCGCTTCGGTGCATTTCTCGAATATTCTTAATATTTGCACAGAAGTATGTGCATTTCTCAAAACAATTCGTACAAACAGCAGCACACAATGGATTACCTGCAAAAGCCTGTAACTTACTCAAAATCTTTAGTTCGTCTCTCAAAAGCAAATATTTATGTCAATGATCACATCAGTGCCATCAGAATGAAAAGTCCTTGTGTCATTGTTCACAAACGAGATGTTGTCAGTATAACAGTGCACTGTTAGTATTACCTGATGTAAACTATGACAACAGTTTGGATGACAGTTACTGTATGTGGGATATTAATTAAAAGAGACTGGATAGCACTCAGTTACACTTTTACTAGTGGTCTGACAAAAAAAACACATTACAATGTCATTGTGATATAGAAAAGAAAAAAAAATATGGGCACAAAGGCGAAAATACAAAATTAGGAAAGCAAACACAAGAAACGGCCCTTAGGCAGAACTTTGCTTTTGCATGCAGCTCTATATGAGGAGTTTCAGAGAACTGGAACCTAATTTTTGTCTTATTCTGTAATCTACTGATGACATTTCTTCCAAATTTTAAATAAAAGTTTTTATTTTGGTCCAAATTTTTAGACCACACAATGCCAATGTTTTAACTTCAGAAGAGAGTTAAGAAATCAGTATTTGGTGGAATAACCCTTAACATGCATAAATGACAATATTTTTATTTGACGAATTGAAAGAAATGTTATCAGACCTTTATAGAATAAAACAAATGTTTCACTCAAACCCCATACCTAGTAAATCCAGAGAAATTAGAATTTTCAAGTGGTCTCTTCATTTTTTTTCCAGAGCTTTGTATAGTTTTGTATCACAAATAAAACGAATGGGAACTTGTCTTGAGTAAGAAGGCACTCACGGATGGTTTGGATTTGATCATGTGATCGGGGCGTTTCTTGCCGCAGCAGTAGCGCATGGCGTCTCTCGCTTCTTTATTGAACACCACACGGAAGAAGAAAATAAACGGCCCCTGAAACACAAACACATGTGATCATCAGACGCTAGGCTCAGGTGTTCTGAGAGATTGCTGGGGCATTGATGAGCTCATGGTACCTGAGCGCAGCAGAATCCGGCGAACAGATAGTGGAAGAGAATCACGTCGCTGTTGACCGAGAGCAACGCCAAAAGACACGTTATGGTCACCAGCAGCAACACGGCACACGCCGTCCTCAAACCCGCCCTGCACACACACACACACACACACACATGCTTTAACACACACACTACACACACACACTTCAGGATTGAGTGTGAACGAGACTCACGCCGGCACGTCTCTGGTCTCGCTGCTCTTCTGCTGGAGCGAACACGAGGCTCTCGACGCCATGATGTACAGGAACACATTCATCTGAGAGAGAAACACACGCTTTCATACTCAGTACAGACTAGCGGAAGCATGCAGACGGGCTGAAACCGTTAGTTGACAAAAAACTCAACAAATATTTTTGATCTCATTTGACCTAATGCCTGCAGTAACACGGTTTAACACGGTGTGGCGCTGTTGCACAAGACTTTTAAGGCCCGTTCACACCAAGGACGATAACTATATAGTTCTAAAAATCGTTCTCAACATAAAGCCTTGTGTCTAAATAAGTTATGTTCCAAATTTGAAGTTGATATGAAAAAAATGTAGGATCCTGTGAGATTTTATTTAGGGCGTTATACTGCAAACAGCCACCGGGTGCCATGCAAACTCCACTGAAATTTTTTTATGCATTTTTCTGTCACAAATTTCTACATTTCTCTGTTAGTATTACTTCTATCACAAAATATGGAATCTTGAGACTCAGACCTTTCCGATGATATGTATTTTGTTAAGATTCTAAAAAGCTTTGATTGTAAAATACCGTAATACATTTTGTAATACGACACTTGACTCCGCCCACTAAGGGGGAGGAGCCCACTAAAAGATTTTAAAGTACCGTTTCCATGGTAACGCAATGTCCGATTTCAAAATAGTTTTCACATGATGAATTTTGAGGTTTTTAAGATTTCAAATGATATATAATTGAATATTTAAAGAGAATTATTAAAATTAACTGAATTTAACTAAAATTAACGATTAACTGAAATAATCGCCGATTAATCGTTGTAATAATCCCTAGATTAATCGATTACCATAATGGACCTTTTTCACATTTGCGTGTTTCTCAGCAGCGGAAGTCGTCATAGTTTTTTAAAAATTTGATGCAAAGATGATATAATACAAAGTATAGTGTTATAAATATACTTCTATGGATTCACGATGCTGATGACCGTTAAACGCGTCGTCACAGTCTTGTGAGTTTGTGCGAACAGAGGCGAGCACTCACCGACACGACGAACGCGACGGGACCCGCCAAACTCCAGATGAGGGTGTCGTAGAGCGAGAGCCAGCAGAAGTCGGGGTTCCCGTAGCCCTCGGGGTCCAGTCCCACCGCCAGACCCGTGATGAAGGCCGGCACGCCCCAGCCAATCAGGTAGTAGAAGCGCATGGGGCCGTAGTTGATGTCGCGCAGCTCGCTCAGCATGCGGTACACATGCAGCCCCTCCAGGAAGAGCCAGGAGAAGACGCAGAGCCAGAGGAAGTGCAGCAGGATGGCCATCACCGTACACAGGAACTGCAGGGAGATTGTGAGCGCCATTCAATAATCACTGCACTTCTGATATCAGAAACATCGCTCCCTCAGGACGTTTACGGCTGAAGTATTTTCAGCATGTTTGGAAATATCACAGAAGTTCTGTTCATAATATATATGTGACCCTGGAGCACAAAACCAGTCATAAGGGTCAAGTTTTTGAATACAATAGCTTTCCATTGATGTATGGTTTTTGTTAGGATCGGACAATATTTGGCTGAGATACAAATATTTGAAAATCTGGAATCTGAGGGTGCAAAAAAATCTAAATATTGAGAAAATCATCTTTAAAGTTGTTCAAATGAAGTTCTTAGCAATGCATATTACTAATCAAACATTAAGTTTTGATATATTTACGGTAGAACATTTACTAAATATCTTCATGGAACATGATCTTTACTTAATATCCTAATGATTTTTGGCATAAAAGAGAAATGTATAATTTTGACCCATACAATGTATTGTTGGCTATTGCTACAAATATCCCCCAGCGACTCAACACTGCTTTTGTGCTGCAGGGACACATATTAAAATAAAATAACATAAAATAAAGTTAGTGCTTGGCAACGATAAATCGCGATTAATCGCATCCAAAATAAAAGTTTTTGTGTACATAATATATGTGTGTGTATTGTGTATATTAAGTATATACAAACACACACATACAGTATATATTTAGAAAATATTTACATGTATATATTTATATGCATATAACTTCTATTTAAATATATTCAATATATAATCATGCATATGTGTGTCTTTATATATACATAATAAATATACACAGTACACACATATATGATGTAAACAAAAACGGTTATTTTGCGATTAATCGTTGCCCAGCACTAAATAAAATAAATACTAGGAGAGCAGTGGTTTATTCTAACACTAGTGTGCAAACTTTTTTCCTACCTCGTGCCAAGCTAAGTACATGGTTGTCGGCATTAAAAGGTATCGTTGCTGCTTTCTGCAGTGCAAATTTTGTTTGTGAAGGATGAAAATAATAGTAAGTTTTCGTTAGTACGTATATTTTTGCATTTCTTACAGCTTTCTGCTCATTCGATATCGGTTAAAGATGAAGTAGCACTGTAAGATTAGATTTGTTTGAATGCACTATCGAGAGAGCGACTGCGTGTGAATAAGCGCTGTACCCGTTTAAATCACGCTTTCACCCGAAAATATTCCGTATCTAGAAGGAACGGACAAATTCCTTTAAAACTATCAGTTCCCGCTCATGTCCACTGACGTCATCATAAGCAGGGCTGGGCAAATAAATCGATGCATCGCGAATCGAGAAATGATTCAGCATTGATTCTGAGATTTTACGAACGCGTCGCGATTCTTTCTCGAGCCGCTTCTGAGCGTAGCTGTGAACAGCAGATGGCGCTGCATGCTTCAGAAACAGCCAAATCCTCACACACACGTGAACCTAAAATAATCATTCATAAATGATTGGAAAAGGTTGAAGCGAATCACAAAAGTGTTGACAGTGGGCTGTGTTTACATTAATCTGGCGTCATAAAAGCATTCTGAGCCGAGGTGAAATTACAGACTCAGCCGAACCCACAAGCGCTCTTCTTTATGAGTGTTTGAGTGTGCGGATAAAAACTGGAGTAGAGCGCCATCTGCTGTTAAAATCTAAGCTCAGAATCACGATGCATTCGGAAGATGCACACGAATCGATTCCGCATCGATTTATCATCGCAGCCCTGATCATAACCTTCACATTCTTTCTGATTTGAGTGATCTAAATCAAGCTAGATAAATATGTTAAGCTTGCAGTTATATTCTGGGTCGTTGGCATGAGTTGAGCTCATGATGGAGCGAGTAAAAAACCATGACGCTCCAATTTTTAAAACATCCGGAAGGAAGTGGGCGTTACTGAACCCACAAGCGCTCTTCTTTATGAGTGTTTGAGTGTGCGGATAAAAACTGGAGTAGAGCGCCATCTGCTGTTAAAATATAAGCTCAGAATCACGATGCATTCGGAAGATGCACACGAATCGATTCCGCATCGATTTATCATCGCAGCCCTGATCATAACCTTCACATTCTTTCTGATTTGAGTAATCTAAATCAAGCTAGATAAATATGTTAAGCTTGCAGTTATATTCTGGGTCGTTGGCATGAGTTGAGCTCATGATGGAGCGAGTAAAAAACCATGACGCTCCAATTTTTAAAACATCCGGAAGGAAGTGGGCGTTACCTTACTTAACCTGTTAGTGATGTCTTAATGACTTAGTGTATGTTTTTCAGTGGTTGCTAGGTAGTTGGTGGGATGTTGCTAGGACGTATAAAGTATACTGCCCCAAGAGACCAAGCCTATGCAACTAACTAACTTCTGATCAGGTTAGTGTTGGGTTAGGTTAGGTTGAGTTGTGTCACCTCTCGGCGTGAGATGTCCATGAGCACGGCGAAGCTGGTCATGTGGTAACACTGACAGCTGATGTGTGTGTTGTTCCTGAAGACCACCTCACAACCCTTAGAAGACCAGCCGCCCGGACCGCCAGCGCTGCACACACAACACAACACAAGCTCACTCACAAACACCTCATATCTACACTACACACACGTACGAGTGTGTACTCACACTATGGAGTGGTTCCAGAACACACAGATGGGTTTAGAGCGCTCCTCAGTGGTCATCAGGCGGAACTGCACCGTGATGGGTTTATCCAGCGTGTGCTGCAGCAGCTCCTCGTTATCATGAACCGTTATACTGACCACAGGAGTGTTGATGACCGGACGCTTGGGAACCCTGAACACACACACAGCATTAGATCAATCAGTGAGTCTGTAAATGTCTGGTCTGGTCTGGTCTGGTGTAGCCTAGTCTGGTCTGGTCTAGTCTGGTCTGATGTAGTCTGTTCTAGTCTAGTCTGGTCTAGCCTAGTCTGGTCAAGTCTGGTCTAGCCTAGTCTGATCTAGTTTGGTCTGGTCTGGTCTAGCCTGGTCTAGTCTAGTCTGGTGTAGCCTAATCTGGTCTGGTCTAGCCTAGTCTAGTCTGGTCTAGTCTCGTCTGGTCTAGTTTGGTCTGGTCTGGTCTATTTTGGTCTAGCCTAATCTGGTCTAGTTTGGTCTAGTCTAGTCTGGCCTAGTCTAGTCTAGTTTGGTCTAGTCTCGTCTGGTCTAGTTTGGGCTGGTCTAGTCTAGTCTGGCCTAGTTTGGTCTGGTCTGGTCTATTTTGGTCTAGTCTGGTTTGGTCTAGCCTAATCTGGTCTAGTTTGGTCTGGTCTAGTCTAGTCTGGCCTAGTCTAGTTTTATCTAGTCTAGTCTGGTCTAGTCTGATCTGGTCTAGTCTAGTCTGGTATAGGTTGGTCTAGTCTGGTCTGGTCTAGCCTAGTCTGGTCTAGTCTCGTCTGGTCTAATTTGGTCTGGTCTGGTCTAGTTTGGTCTGGTCTAGTCTGGTCTAGTCTAGTCTAGTCTAGTCTGGTCTGGCCTAGTTTGGTCTGGTCTAGCCTGGTCTAGTCTAGTCTGGTCTAGTTTGGTCTGGTCTAGTCTGGTATAGGTTGGTCTAGTCTGGTCTGGTCTGGTCTAGTCTGGTCTGGTCTAGCCTAGTCTAGTCTGGTCTGGTCTAGTCTGCTCTGGTCTAGTTTGGTCTGGTCTAGCCTGGTCTGGTCTAGTCTGGTATAGTTTGGTCTGGTCTAGTCTGATCTGGTCTCACCTGAGGCTCCTCTTGTCGGTGTCGTATCGCTCCGGCAGCAGCGCCGCTAGGCTGTGGAAGATGATGACGCTGGCGACGGCGTCCTGCTCGCGCTCGTCCGGGTGACGTTTCTTCCGATTGGCCGTGTGGTTTCTGCCGGACTCTGCGATTTGCTCGCTGTGGTGCCGCTGACCTTTGCCCTCGGGGGCAGGGATGAAGACCGAGTCGGGAAGAGTGACGGCCGTCTCCAGGTCGAGTGGGCGTGGCCCGCGCAGAGACTCGTAACGCGGCAGTTTAGCGCCGGCGAAATTCATCTTCTCCAAACGATCGATGGAGATGACTGGAATAATACAGATTTGCAGAACATAAAACAACTAACACAAATTAAGCAACAAACTAAATGCAATTAAACAATTAAAATGATACTTCTTTGTAGCTAACTTCAGTAGTTTATAGATTAGATAGATATAGATATATATATATAGATAGATATCATATTGTTTAGTGTAGACAATATACTAATACTAAAAGAAATTTTTTAACTCAAAGATCTTTTATAATAAATAAAAATAAAACATAATATAAACAATTTACATTTAAATTATAATTGAAAAAAAATTAAATAAAAACATTATATATTTTAAAATTTTCCAACAGATTTTTTTTTTTTGCCATCTAAAACTCAAAGGTCTTGCTGATTTACTTTACTAAATAATTAAATAATGAGCTAATTATAATTTAACAGTTTTTTTTATAATTCAACAATTTTCCAGCATATTTTGCCAATCTTGAACTCAAAGTTTTTACTGGATTAACTTTCTTTATAACTGGATTTAATTAACTGTTTTTTTAGTTAACTGAGCTCACAATAAAGCATTAGAATTAATATAAATCATTATTAACATCATTAATAATGACTATTATTATAATTAATTTCAATCATAGATTATAATAATAAATTATAATACACTATGAAAAGAGAAAAATAAGACCATAAAACAAAAACCAAACTGAAATGTAAGTGTGTGTGTCGCTATCACTGACTAAAGAGGTTGTGGGCGTGGCCTGCAGATCTTTGGCCAATCAGAAACACTCTTGGCATGTCAATCAGTTTTGTACGGATGGAGGGTGTGTGCATGTAACTCAGTGAAGGAATGAAACAACAGACCGACGTTGGGTGTGACGATGGTGAAGGGGCTCAGGTAGGTCTTCCTCATGTTTTGCGCGAGCGTGTTCGTATACTCCTCGAACTGTCGCAGCAGTGCGGCCGTGCCTCCCTCCGTCTGCTGGATGAGCTCCCAGTGTCCGCGCGTTTCCGCCGACAGTATAGCGCTGCCCACGTGCATCAGGTGCTGCCACAGCGACCAATCACATCACAGAGTAAAAAGTTCGGAACTACTTTGTTACTTTTAAAAATGTATCTAGTACTCCTAATAAAAATACATTATTTCCTGTGAATTTAGTGCGAAAATTCAAATAAAATCTACAAATTTTCCCATTTCTGTTGATTTTTAAGTGGATTTACAGTTATTAAAATAATATAAATTATAATTTATAAATTTACATATGCTTACAGGACAATAGAAGCGATCAAAATCAGCAAAAGAGCAATGATACGCAAGTGCTATAACAAGTCTCAGTTAGCTTAACGCAGCACACGTAGCAAGGGTTTTTATTTTTATTTTAAATTACGTAAAAAAAGAAAACATGACAAAAACGGAACACAAAAAGAAGAGCATTTTTAGAGAACAGAGTTTTTTAAAGAAAACAAGCAGTTAGTAAATGAATAGAGTGCAGGTCTAAAAGGGGGAACGTTCTTGTTAAAGAACAGAATTAGAATTAATTAATAGAATTAAATTGAAATCATAATAAATGATTATAATTAGTCATTATATTGTTTACTAAAATCAGATGTCTAAATGCTACATATGAGAGAAAACTTTTTACAAAGCTAAAAACAGTTAGTTGCAACTTAAAAATCGTTACTTTTACAAAGCAAAATAGTATTCGTAATAACAATAATAAAATTAATATGTTTATTTCGTTCTAAATATAGTTCAAGTCTATTAACATATTTACTGACATATCGCTCGAGACTTACCGATAAAAAAAATTCGAATTAAACTTTATTTGGAGTACTACTTTATTATTAATATTAAGTCTAAAATGTGGTTTCACGTCACTATTAACGATGATCTTAAAATAATATCGGTCTTTAAATGCAAGATATTATAAAGTGTACCTGAGGAATACCTGCAATAGTTCCACTTTAGCACAATCAAGTATACTTAAGTGTATCTTTAGTTGTACTTCAGCTCTACTTCTGCACAATTAAAGTGCATCAAGTGCAAAATTAGTTGTTCAAATTTAGAAGGCTTTAAGTAGAACAGTTTAGGGTATATTTTTATTAAGCATATAAATGTATTTGTTTGGCATGAAACAAAAGTGTTTCAAATAGATTTTAGTATATTTATTTTTCGCTAGGGTTAATTTGTGCATTATTTAACAAATTTATAAATAACACATTTAATAATGCGTTGAACAATTTAGAAATAATGCATTTTAATGGAGTTTTTATTGCTACATATGAGAGAAAAATGTTAGTTAGTCGCATTACTACTTTTAGTTTGTAACTATTTGTTACTTTTAAAATGTGAACTAGTATTCCTAATAAAAACAACCAATGACGCATAATGCGTTATTTTTGGAGTTACGAAATATTAGAAATACTGAAAATTATTTAATCCACTTACATTATCCACCATTAAACACAGTTTTAACACTAATATCTGTAACTATTCGTAATTTGTTACTTTTAAAATGTGAACTAGTATTCCCAATAAAAACAACCAATGACAACCAATTTTGCGTTATTTAAACGCGTGTACCTCGTTAAACAAGACGTCTTGCGTGGCGGTGAGGTTGAAGCCCTGCTGGCTGCTCTCGTGCTGCAGTATGGCGCGCGTCAGGTGATACGCGATCTTCACGTCGCTGCCGTAGAACTGTCTCGCGTTCCTCGTTGCGTTACTCAGCAGCGCCGCCATCTGCTGGACGTTACCGGAATCCATCAGAGACGCGTTACGCCCCAAACGCTCCGACTGCAGGCATGAAAACACACGTGAGGATGCGCGGATCACGCTGTATCGCGAGAGGTTTGCGTGAGATTCTCACCAGTGTCTTGAGTTTACTGAAGCTCACAGACGTGCAATTGAAGAGGTTCGGAGACAGCCAGCCCTTGTGCTCGTCGCAGTGACGGATCGCAGTTCCTGCGCGCAAATAGAATGCAATTAAAATTAATTGTATTGTCTTAAGTCGCTGGGGTATATTTGTAGCACTAGCTATCAATACATTGTATGGGTCACAATTATAAATTTCTCTTTTATGCCAAAAATCATTAGGATATTAAGTAAAGATCATGTTCCATGAAGATATTTTGTAAATGTCCTACCGTAAATATATAAAAACTTAATGTTTGATTAGTAATATGCATTGCTAAGAACTTCATTTGAACAACTTTAAAGATGATTTTCTCAATATTTAGATTTTTTTGCACCCTCATTTTCCGGATTTTCAAATATTGTCCTATCCTAACAAACCATACATCAATGGAAAGCTATTTATTCAGCTTCCAGATGATGTACAAATCTCAATTTCACAAAATAGACCCTTATGACTGGTTTTGTGCTCCAGGTGTAATTGTAAGTACATCTATCTTCTTACCATGGCAAAGTCAGCACATTGTAATCTGATAAAATGATAATTCTTAATGTAGTAATAATGTTAAAATAACAGTGTGAGTGTGAAATGTTTGTTTGGTACCCATGGATCCTTTCGGACACGAGACGGCCGCTGGTAAACCGAACTTGGTCCGCGGCCACCAGATTCCTGCTTCGATGGCCTGCGGACAGCTGTCGTAGATGACTGAACACACACACACACACGTGTTACTGAGGGATTGTGGGACACACACGACAGCCTGATGAGCGTGTGTCTGAGAGTCTGACCTTCACAGCCGCTGGAAGAGACCTCAGCGAAGGGGTTATCACAGCGGTCACACTGCCGCCCGATGACACCCGGCTTACACGGACACTGACCGCTGTCCCGGTCGCAGGAGCGCGAGAACGCGCCCACGGCGTAGCAGTCGCACAGCAGACACGCCGCGCTCGCCGCAGGCCGGAAGTGATTGTCCTGACCACACAAACAATATCAACATCCAACTGCAGTCTGCTGCGATTAGTGTACCCTGATGACAATTCTCTCTGCTTTTGGGGGACTGGATGACTTTTGGACTTGATAGCATTACACAGTAGCTAGCAATAAGATATAAATATATAAAATAATATAATTAAAAAATATATATTATAAAATATTCTAAACAAAATAAAAAATAAAATAACAGAACAAATAATAATAACCTATTATACAATATTAAAATTAAAAAGTAAAAAAATTCAATTAAAAAAAAATTTTTTTTTTTTACAACTTAAACCATATCAAAATGAAATAAGATAGAAAATGTTCAAATTTAAATTTAGTGAAGTTTAAAATTTACTAAAACAATGCAAAATTATACATAATAAAAAAATTTTTTTTTATTTTATTTTAGTTAATTTTTGTGTTTAATAACAATATAAAAAATGTTTTTACAATTGATTAAATAATATTAAAATAAAAAATTGAAAGATATTTTTTGAAGAAATATAAAACTAAAATAGTATAATAAAAAGTAAATAAATAAAAAACAATATAAATGTAACAATTTATTAAACAATATAAACATTTAACAGTACGTTATTATAATTTTATACTGTTGTATAAAGTATTTTTATTAAACTTAATTTTATATTGTTTATAATAATATAATAAAATATATTAAACAACATAAAAGTAAAAAATAAATCTAATAAATAATAGTTTATTAAATAATATCAAATCTAAATATTATAATAAAAAATATACAATTTAATAAAAAAACTGATTTAATAAGGCTTTTCAAACTAAAAACAGTAACTAAAGACGCAGTAATGGAGTTTGATCAAACCTTGCAGCGACAA